TCCAGTTAGCAGCATGATACTGTTAGCAGCATGATACTGTTAGCAGCATGGTCCAGTTAGCAGCATGGTCCAGTTAGCAGCATGGTCCAGTTAGCAGCATGATACTGTTAGCGGTGTGGTCTTGTTAGCAGGTCCTGTTAGCAGCATGATGATAATAACCACAGCAACTGCTCTCCAGAACTGGGTCCGGCAGACGGACAAGGGTGAAGATGGACGAGTGTCTAGAATCAGCCACGATAAGAAAAGGCTAAAATTATTCAAAGGACTGACGAAAACAACCAGACAAAAATTATTTACACAATCCTGTGACGCCCATCAGCCCAAATGGACGTGACTGAGACCACTTTAACAACGAAGTCCGGCTCCTTGGAGGGAAATCCTACAGGAATGTGTCCTGGATGAGTTATTGGTGAGTTTGATGAAAAACTGGATCCTTTTCCTTCTGTGTGTTCAGGTGTGGTCCCTGAGAAGAAGAGCAAAGACAAAGGCAGCAAGAAGCTGAAGAGGAAGAGCAGCGATTGTGACTCCGGTCAGGTCAAACAGATTAAAACAGAAGAGGTCACCTCTCAGCTGGTGAGTTTACACCGACATGGACAGATTAAGAGTCAGACTTCCCCTGAGTGCAATAAACTCTGACCTGAAGTTCAACTAATAATTAATTTAAAGTCTCAAACGTGACAAACAGAGCCAGTGGTTAAAAAGGCTGAAACACTCAGCTGCCGTCAGACAGATGGAGCCGCTCGTTCACAGAAAACATCTTCTTCTGCTCTGCAGCGTGTGGAGGAGTCTCTGCTGCAGCACGAGCCCGTCCAGTCTGAGGAACCCTCTCAGTGCTCCGCCATCCAAAGAGACGGTGAGGCTCTGGTTAACCCCCTAAAACCTTCACAGATCTGGCTTTAGAAACGCTGCTCGTCACCTTTCTTCAGCTGAATATGTTGTTGCTGGTTGGTTTATTTTGAACATGTTTAAAACATGCAAACATTTTAAGCAGAGAGAAACAAAAAGAATAAAGCGTCAGTATTCCTCGAAGGAAACTAAATCTTAAATTGTTTTTCTTAAACTTAGATGAAGTTAATGATGGAGTTGTTGCTCTCTCGGTCAGGTCGCATGCTGCTGATGCTCAGAGTCGACGTTGTGAACGACTCTCAGCCACAACCACCCCAGACTCAATCTCATATCAGTAAAACTGACAGAGTCGTAGCAGTCAGTGGGTTTTCTCAGGTCACTCGGCAGTAACTGGATTCAATAACGGATTTAATCCTTACACCCGATTACTTCTGTAAAATCTTCATTAAAATGAACCTTGTAGTTTATGTGATATTTTGCTAACACATACACACAGATAAAAACATTCAGTTTGACTTTAAAGCTTTTACTTTGTTAACTTGGGATCAGAGCAGAACTCGATCCCTCTGACCTTTCGTAACTGTGTGGAGATGAAAAGCATCCTGGTCTCTGTAGTTCCTTTAATATGTAGTCATTTAATAATCTTTTTCATATCAGTCAGCTGATTGACTTCTTCTTCTGACCCGTTCTTGTTCTGCAGCGGTGGATGAGATCAGGCTGGACGTGCGGATCGAAGAGAGTTTTCCTGCTGCTGCTGCAGGTAGAACACATTCACAGCTCCACCAGCTGGAATTCTACAAACAATCAAGTCCTGCAAGGTTTGACTTTGGTTTTGTCTCTACAGACCAAGACTCGTTCAGTGTGACCGTTCATTATCTTGGACAGGAAGTCCTGAAACGTCAGATCAACAGCGCCGACGTTCGGATAATGTACCTGCCTTCCTCGTCCATCCCTCCAACTCCAGTCGCTCTGAACAGCAGGTTTCTACGCGTCCCGCTGCCAGAGCCTCCGTCCACGCTGCCGGCCGGCCCCGAGCGGCAGGCGCTCTTCACCCTGCTGCCCTTCATGGAGAAAGGGATCCTCCTGACCTCCATGCCGCAGGGAGTGTACGGCAGTAGGTACTGCCAGGGCCGGGTCTTCTGGACAGGGCCGCACACGACCACGTCAGGCTTGCACAGGATGGAGAGGAACACCGAGCCGGTGCTGCTCTTCAGCAAAGACGTCTTCAAGCAACGTGAGTCGGACAGGACAGGAAAACTGTGAAAATGTTGGATTTCACAAGAAACTGGTTAAAATCCATCAAATAACCTTCAGCGCACATGGAGGAGCCTGCTGCTGCTGCTGCTGCATCTGCTGCTGCTGCTGCATCTGCTGCTGCATCTGCTGCTGCATCTGCTGCTGCATCTGCTGCTGCTGCATCTGCTGCTGCATCTGCTGCTGCTGCTGCTGCATCTGCTGCTGCTGCTGCTGCAGCTGCTGCTGCTGCTGCAGCTGCTGCATCTGCTGCATCTGCTGCTGCTGCATCTGCTGCTGCTGCATCTGCTGCTGCTGCATCTGCTGCTGCTGCTGCATCTGCTGCTGCTGCATCTGCTGCTGCTGCTGCAGCTGCTGCATCTGCTGCTGCTGCATCTGCTGCTACTGCTGCTGCTGCATCTGCTTCATCTGCTGCTGCTGCCTCTGCTGCTGCTGCTGCCTCTGCTGCTGCTGCGGCTAAATGAAACCTCGAGTCATTCTGACCCAAGGACAGCAGCAGGAATAAACTAGACACACTTCATTTCCTGCAAAAAATGCAATGTGAATGCTTATTGCTAATGAACTTGCTGAAAAACAGCTAAAATTAACTCAAATCATGCAGAATTGTAGCTGAAATGGAAGAACAAGCCTAAATTAAGAGAGGAAAGCAGAAAGAACAAATATTTGCTGAATTTGGTTTAAATAAGCAGAAATGAGCACAGACATTAGTAAATTGGCTCTAAAAGCTGAAATTAGCAACAAAAAAAGGCTGAAAAGTAGCTGAAATGGCAGAAAGAAGCTTACATTACCAGAAGGAAGTGGAGTGAGCACAGTTGTGCCCAATTAAACTGAAAGAAGCAGAAATGAGCACAAAAAAGTGGAAATTGTCTGAAAAAAGCTGAAAGTAGCAAAAAAACAACTGAAAAGTAGCTAAAATAGCAGAAAAAAGCTGGAATTAGCAGAAGCTTGTGGAGAGAGCACATTTTCACTGAATTAGGCTGAAAAAGCTTAAATGAGGGCAAAAAATATGGAATTAGCTGAAAAAGCTTAAATTAACATAGCTAACAATAGTAGCTAAAATAGCAGAAAAAGCTGAAACGTACATAAATAAGCTGAAAGGTGCATAACAAGCTGACATTAGCAGAAATAAGTTAGAAGAAGCACAAAAATGTTGTAGTTAGCAGAAAGGAGCACAAAATAGCTGAAGGTTAAACTTGCAGGAGGAAGCTGAAGCAGAACAAAATGTGAACAGAGCAGTAAAAGTTTGTAAACAGATCTAAAGATTTGAAGGAGGTAAAATGAGCTCAATTCATTTTCTTTGAGAAAAAAAATGTCAGAAAAGGCAAAAATTTTCAAACAGCTAAAGTTGCACCAACACCAAAAGTCATAGCAGGATGGTCCTGAAAGAGCTGAACGTTTTGATGATCCGTTGAAATATCACAAAAATTGTTGAACGAGGAAGATGCTGAAAAATGTACAGAAGAAAATAAAATGAATACTTCATAAACATTCAGACAATTAAACTACAGTAACCAGTTTACCACAGAGAGCTGCTTCCATTTGTAGTTCAAGTCTTTACTGTCACCATGATTAAAAAATGATTACGGCAAATTTTCACAAGTTTTTATAAAGAACCAAAGAGTCAACAACAGCGTCCTGACCTGCAGCTTGAAGCTCAGCGTTGGCCTTCACAACAGTCCAGTTTACAAACCCTGAACATGTCATGTGGTAGTAGCTGAGAGTCATTCACAACACACACTCTGAGCGTGATGTCTCCCAGTACTGCACGTTACTGTTAGTCCATCTCTGGTGTAAAAAGGTGAAATGCTTTCCCTCAGTCGTTTACAGATTAGTACAGATCGCTTCAACCGTGTTATTTCTAAAGACGTCACGGTGTGTTAGACTTTATACAAGTCATTCAGATTAATAATCTGTTCATAATATACAAGTCATTCAGATTAATAATCTGTTCATAAACCAGATGAGCAGTAGAAGAGACGGCCAGCAGTTCAGACTCAGAGCCACACATGAGCTGAGTCATCTTCAACCATTTCGTGTATTTATTCTGGAAGTGTTCTTCTTTTACCTGCATGTAAATAACAAGCGCTGCGTCTCGTGTTTCATCAGAGCTGGACCACTTCCGTACGAACGGCGGCGAGCCTCCTCAGTGCAGCTTCACTCTGTGTTTCGGCGAGGAGCTCAGTAACACCGAAGACCCGACCGGAAAACTGATCATCGCTCAGGTAAAAAAAAATATTCACGTTGTTACTCACAGAGGGATCAAACAGGACATACTTTGTTGTACTGAACTATGGAGACCCGTCACACTCAGTATTTGATTACTGTAGTAGAGTTAGTCGCCAGCTTAGAGATAACTACAGCATGAAGCTGCAGCCTGTCTTATAAAGAGCAATTATTAAAAAGATCAGTTTATTTTTTATTAAACGCTACAACCATAACCCAGTCAAACCGCAGAGCTCTTATTAGAGGCAGGTGATTTAAAAATATATATTATTTTGTCGTTATTAGAAGAATGATTTGTTCTGAGTGAGCAGCAGGTGAAAGAGAGCCTGGAGAGGTAGACGGATGCTCCGCAGAAAAAGAGTGAAAGTCAATAGAGATAAAATGTGGAAAGCTAAAGAATCTTCTGACCACGGTGAGATGATCCACTACAGAGAGCAGGTCTGCTGCAACCTGCAGGTGATGACGCAACAGTTTGACATATCAGAGTGCAGTAAGCAAACATTAACTCTGGAGCCAGACCAATATGGACATTTTGGCTGCCACTGATACTAATACTGGGAGGGGCCGGCTAATGCTGGTAACCGATATACTGGCTGTAAATTTCTGAGCTCTGTCCACCCCCAAGAATCTAAGAAAACAGCTACTTTTAATCTGTTTTAATACTTTGAAGTCTTGAACAGTCTTCTTAACGTGCCTTCACATTTTCTGTCCTCCACTATTCACCATAAAGTTATCAAGTGTGTTACAATAAATATAAATGAAACAAAGAAACACTTCCCTGTTCATTGTTTACACAGTCAGTCAGTATGGTGAAGGTCTGATTAGAACTGAACGCAGCAGCGTTTTTTTTTTCTTTGCAGAGAAGTAAAGGATACAAGGATTTTTATAGTCATTTTCATCACATGTGGTACATGAGGTGGAACAAAACTTTGTACACAGGGCCCCAGTTACATCCAACAAAAATACAAATTGTAAAGAAAAACATTAGTAAGATCTGTCATGAACTAAGAATATACTACATTCACTAAACTAAGAATACACTAAGCACTAATAGTACAAAAACAATGCACCAAAACAATAGTAAGTAAACAACAGGAAAGATTTCAGACTAACTATACATTTCATTGAGGACAACAAAGATGACGTTACTAACACTGATATATTTTATCCCTACTTATTTATTGTTCTGGATAAAGTTTTACAAGGAAATATCTTATGCTAATAGGCCTGTCACGATAACAAATTTTGCTGGGCGATTAATTGTCTCAGAAATAATCGCGATAAACGATAATATTGTTTGGAGACCTTTTCAAACTAATGTAATGATAATTAAATAATAATGCAAGTACATCCTTTCAACGATCAATAAACTTTTAATTTCAAAAGAACACAACACTGGAACTGGAAAATAAACAAAACAACCAAAAACAAAAATAAAATGGACTCAGTCTCCGTTAACAAAAAATGCATTTGAATAAAAACTAAATACAACAAAAAAACTAAATGGAAATTAAAACTACATTCAACCAAAACAGTATGGATTATGACGTCTGTAAACTAAACTGCCCTGCAAAACATAATAATCATTAGTAACAATAGTAGCTAGTTGGTTGTATTGCGGCTCTTAGTTGCTGCCGTTTTATGACAAATGCGACATACCGGCTCACAAAGGTTCAGCGGTTCACCTCGGTCATTTGGTTTGAATCTGAAGCGCTCCCACACTGCTGCTGTTGTTGCATTCAACTTTGGAACCAAATTCCATTTAGTTTTTTCCCCAATATCAAACAGCGTTTCTTTAGCTTGCTAACTCCTCACGGGGCTCTAATGCTGCAGAGGTAAAAGATGATGCGCTTTGGCTGGCTACCAGATGCGATAGTTCACTTCCCCCCATTACGATAAGGAAAAAAGAAAGAGAGGGGTCAGTGAAGAGCACCGGAGTTGAGCCTTTTGTCATCCAGTGTGTTCAGTAGTGTTGGAAAACCGGCATCCAGGTGGTGGTAAACCAAGAGAAGCCAGTTTTAATAAGTTGAAATCAGACTATATTCACACCAATGATGTTTAACAAATAGCATATAAGAGTTTGTTAACAATTTGTATGTCTCATTATTATATGCTTTTTTCTCTCACTTTTAATAACTACTTATTGCTGATAAGATGTGAAGAACAAAGGAAAGCCTGAATCCAATCTCAGGCAAAGAAAGAGCCAGGTTTGAGGCTGAATAATGAATGCATAAAGGGAGAATAGATAAATAATCATGTTTTAAGTAAATGTGTAATTCTTTGAAAAGCTTTACAGCAGTTATTTTGAATAAATCTGTAATAATCCTGTATGACCCTAAACAAGATGTTGAATAGGGAAACAGTGATGCAACTCTGAGCAAAACAATTTTGGAGGGAAACGGTGAAAGCCCACCCAGTTGGGTGGAGGCTGGAGTTTGCATGATCTCACATATCCCAATAAAAGAAATGATTGGTTGAGAAATATGGTGAGACATTAGAACCTCCTCAAAGGAGGGGAAAAAAGCGTTCTTAAAAACCCTCTGATCAGACAGAAAAGGGCACAAGCTAAGCCAGGATGAGTCGAGAGCAGAAAGGATTACAAGCAAGCAGCCTAGAAGTTGGGGTCGCCCGAAGGAATTGGATTACACCGATCTAAGACGAGTTTTGGATTTTACCTCGTCACACTGATATGAGATTGGACCTAATTCTTCACTTGTTAAGACGAGACTGGGATTATTCCATCCTCCTACAAGCTTGGCCCGGGCATGTCCAAAGCCCCAATTCTTCCAATTTGGGATAGCTGCTCTGCTTAAGGGAGGCCTGTATCCCCCCCGCCTGGGGAACAGGAGATTTGCCTTTTACCTGTGCGGAAATTCTATAAGGATTATCCCAAAAACCAGGGTAAGAGGACTTCCCGGTCTGACTGCTCCAAACTAAATAATCTGTCAAATCAGGACAAGCACATAGGATAAAATAGAGAGAACCAAACTGGGTTTAGTGGGTTAATGCTCAGAGATGTATCAGAATAGTGAGGTATTTTGAGAGAAAACATGTGTTGGCTTGAGCTGTGAACGGACAGAATGGAGGTGGTTTATACAAGTCCCCAAGGGCTCTTAGAGACAAATTGATTTATTGTCTGCCTAGTTATAAAGTGTTTTTCTCTGTTATCATGAATAAGTACCTGTTATGAAATTATGCTTGTCGCTGTATTCCCCTGCAAAATTACTAATTAAAGCAAAGCAAAACGTATAAATCTTGACTATTATTTCATCCTCATTGAGCAAATACGTGGTGAAGCTTGGTTCTACTTTAACAGCTTGTATTAGGAGGTTTTTAACGGTTTCCTGGCAAGAAAGTGTAAAACAACACCCCTGAGTCCTGTCCCTGGACTCTAAAAGATTACCAGAACAGATAACAATTGCAACGCTAAATCAAGAGGTGAACGACCATGAACGCGTGTTTCTCCGTGCCGATCGGCCCGACCCTGCTGCTTGGATAGGTCGAAGTACGGAGTGAGATCTGGGTGTGGCTCGCGGAAAAGAAGGTCGTTAATATTCTGGATGAGTCATCTCGTCACAGCCTTAATGAGGCTATCTTAGGGAGCTGCAGGTAATACCACGGCGCTAAGTTTCTAAACCCCTTGGAGGAGAGGCTGTAAGTGAGGACTTGTCACTGTGCCAGTGGCTACCTCGCTTTGGGTAAGCGAAACAGTAGAAAGAGAGAGACAAAGAAACAATAAAGCTGATCAATGAAAATGATCAACCTCGTTTTAATTTATCATGCGATTAATTGATTTATTGTTTATCGCGACAGGTGATAAACAATAAATCGGCAACATGCTAGATTATCTAAATGTTAGCTTGCTAACTTGAGAGGCACATATCTAATGACAAGCAGGTTGGAGGATTGAAGATAATTTATTAATGTTTATTTGTTTTACAGATCGGTTAAAATAAACTTACCATGATCTGTTCAGCTAAATACTCTACACAGTATTGCTCGCTGCTTTGGCTGTGCTGAAAGTGAAAGTTAAAGTGAACAAAGATGATTTGAAAGTAGTCCACATGCGCCCTCTGCTGGATGCTTTGTACGATTACACCTTTTGGCAGTAAGGTTGTTCCCAGTGTTTATATCAGCACATAATGGGACAGTTAACATCGATAGGATAAGTTCCCAAACGCCTATATCGGCCTAAAATATCGTCCCTACAATGTGTCGGCTGGGCTCTAATGAACATAACTCATCACTTCTACAATTTCTTTCACATGAAAACAAATCAGAAGCCAAACATGATCAACTTTGCTACTTGGAGCTGAGCATGAAGTTAGTGTTGTAGGGTTAGGGTTAGGGCTAACCCTAACCCTAACGCCCACACCCTTTCACTCACACGTGGTTCTGTCCCAACAGAACAACACAGACAACAGAACGTTACGTCACAACCAGGGGTGAAAGTAAACCGGTACAGTCTGGTACTGTGTACCACTAAAAGACTCTGCACCAGTACTCAGTACTGGAAGAGAGGGGCTGTCTGCTGGAAAGCCTCATTCAGAACCAGTTTGCACTTTGGGTCAGAGTCTAAAACTCGACTTGATCAGTTCATAAATAGTTTCCTCTTTTCAAATAGTTCCTGAACTGTTTGTGCTGGAGCCTCGACTCTCGACCGTGGTGAAGTTAGTTTGACGTTGGACGTTCGAGCTCCGTGTCTTCAGCGGTGCGTTCATCTCGTTCGATCTGAAGCAGACAGTCAGATTTCAGCTGAGCTCAGTCTGCTCCTCCTCCGAGACGTAAAGGTTCACTTATTAGGGACCGTCAACAAATTACTGAACCAAGCACTCTTCAGAAACAAAGATTCATTTATTTTACATCACTTGACCCACTGACACAAAACTAATGTTAAACTTCTCTAATAGACCTGACCCACAAGACACCATCATTTATTTCTTATTTTAAAACATTTTCTAATTAGTTATTGTGTGAAAAACATGATTTTTGAACAGATAAATTATGTAAAATGCTTTAAAGAGAGAAATACATGAGGGTGCCTCGTCTGTCAGGTCTAGTAGAGAAGTTTAGCACAAGTTTTGTGTCAGTGGGTCACATGACTTGAAAATTATTGTACAAAACCACTGAAGGTTTGACATTTTATAGAAGCTGATACATTCAATCAAAAGTAACTTAAAGTTAAAGTACAAACCGGATTCCAAAAAAGTTGGGACACTAAACAAATTGTGAATAAAAACTGAATGCAATGATGTGGAGGTGCCAACATCTAATATTTTATTCAGAATAGAACACAAATCACAGATCAAAAGTTTAAACTGAGAGAATGTATCATTTTAAGGGAAAAATCTGTTGTTTCCAAATTTCATGGCGTCAACAAATCCCAAAAAAGTTGGGACAAGTCCATTTTTACCACTGTGTGGCATCCCCCCTTCTTCTTACAACACTCAACAGACGTCTGGGGACAGAGGAGACCAGTTTCTCAAGTTTAGAAATAGGAATGCTCTCCCATTCATGTCTAATACAGGCCTCTAACTGTTCAATCGTCTTGGGCCTTCTTTGTCACACCTTCCTCTTTATGATGCACCAAATGTTCTCTATAGGTGAAAGATCTGGACTGCAGGCTGGCCATTTCAGTACCCGGATCCTTCTCCTACGTAGCCATGATGTTGTGATTGCTGCAGAATGTGGTCTGGCATTATCGTGTTGAAAAATGCAGGGTCTTCCCTGAAAGAGATGACGTCTAGATGGGAGCATATGTTGTTCTAGAACCTGAACATAGTTCTCTGCATTAATGGTGCCTTTCCAGACATGCAAGCTGCCCATGCCACAAGCGCTCATGCAACCCCATACCATCAGTGATGCTGGCTTCTGAACAGAGCGTTGATAACAACTTGTGCTATCCTTGTCCTCTCTGGTCCGGATGACATGGCGTCCCAGTGTTC